TTATTAGTTTTAGATTAAAAATTGCGTCCAACAACTTACCCATCACCAACGTCTTTCGTAGTCTGATAATACCAAAAGAGTGTAGAACATGAAAAGAGGCTGATGTGGCAGATCAATGTTAAAACCATAACAACCAGCTTCAGCACGAATCCAACTCGCAGGAATACTGATATTGACGCTATTGTCAGTACTGAACTGTACAAGTAGCTCTAGAATTAAAAAAGTTCAAAGCATTATACATATTTTACTTTTAACTACCAACTACAAAACGCGCGATTGCATCGCTACACTTGCGTTTTATAGCCTCGTCTATAAATCCCAAGTGTTGCGATGCAATAGCGCTTTTATATCGCTGCTTAAACTCGCGCGCGTGTGTAAAGGTAGACGATTAGCGACTGCACCGTTATTGCATCGCGTTTGCGTCGCATTTGCATCGCTGTGTGTATCCACTCTAATTTGTAGTTCAAAGGATGCTGATAAGCAAAAACGTGTCCACCGATATGATCATAGTTATTACTTGTACAATGAAAACTTTTGTCACCTCAGGAATGATGAATTGTATTGATTTATTACTATGGTCGGCAGACTAAAGAACATAATTCAAACAAGTGCTTCATTTTTTATACATAATTATATATATTTAGTGTTGTTTATAGTGTTGGAAGATGTGAAGAGAATGATAAATTTGAAAAAGTCGCCACTAGAATTTAAGTTACAAATTAATGAAGTAACAAATGAATATGACTTATTTGCTTTAGCCGGTAGAGACTATATTAATTTAAATGAATGATGTTAGATTTTTACTCATCGTCGCATTACTTTCTCAAACTCGTATCTTAAAGGCCAAAGTTATTGAAATGCAAAAAAATGGATTGAATATACAAATTTTTGCAGGCTGATTTCACGTCATATTTCCTTAATATTCTCACACCTGGCTTTTACCTATTCCTAAAGTAATACATCGACATTAACATTTAAAATAAATATAAAGTTTTGCCAATCTCCTGAACAATCACTCTTTATAAGATACAAGTTTGAGAAAGTAAATTTGTATTAAAAATAGTCAAAGTTTTCATTTTATAAATAAATTTTAGAACAAACTATCAAAAACGACTAAAATATCATTAGGTGCCATGTTGGTTGATACTTTTTTTCATATTACCAAGTGACAGGACGAACAAGTCGTGCGCCTGATGGTAAGCGACACGCCTTTCCGTAACAGTTGCAGTGCCAATCAGAGTTTTAAATCGCAAAGATCTAAGGGCCACTGCGTCCGTCACCCTAAGACATAAGTTAGCAAGTCCCATGTGCCTGTAATTTCATCAGCACCCTTACCCTTCAAAACCGGAACGCTGTAATGCTCACATTACTGCTTAGCGGCTGAACAGTGGCAGTACCTCCCTGGACGAACACTTTCAGAAGGAGCTATACTGCTACGTTATTGCTTGTCAGCATCCAATTGTCAGTCAAAAATGGAATAAATTAAAATAAAATAGCATGAAAAATTCCATCGATCCGACTCCAAACAGCGTCATTTGTCAAAGCCACCAACTCTTATCGCGCGATCTTTAACTCAGTTGGTAAGAGCGGTACCCTGGTTTGGGAAACAGACACTGGTTTAAGTTCTTTTTTTACAAGATGTGTAAATATAAAGTGCCCATTTTACTTCATCTCACCGGATGGTTAAGTGAGGATGAGGACGACGATGGAGCATGCATTTAAAAGGCCCAAGTAATAACGTTCGTGGCATAAATCTACAGGAAGGTAATTCCACTCTTTAGCCGTTCACCGTGTAAATGTGGAAGCTTAACGCTTCGTGCGTATTCTTGCAATATCCCCAACATAGGGGTGGAACCCAAATGTCATGCTATGTAGCCACGCCACCCTATTTATTTAGTATGACATATTTCGATAATACACAGCGTTTACACATTGGCTAAATTCAAATAGTAGTCAACTTCTTTTATTCTCGTCACTTCGGATCCCAGCCTTTTTGAGGACAACACTGATCTGGTCAATGTAAGTCCTTCTGGGACGTCCTCTTAAAACCCTTCCATCCACATTCGCATCATAAATCTGTTTGGTAATTCTTCTTACATCCATCCGCTCTACATGCCCAAACCACCTCTACAGTCCTTTCTGTATTGTAGTCACCACATCCATTTTCAAGCCATATTATTGTATTCTTCACTCTATCACTCAACTTTATTACACAAATTTACCTCAAAGACCTCGTCTCCACTGCGATTAATTCTACTTTCACGCTTCTTCTGCCATAAAAAGTAAGTAAGTGTTCCGTGGTCTCTGCCTACCGCTACTGTGGGACTAGAGCGTGAGCGTATGTATGTATGTAATACGAGTAGTAGTACATTCACAAAAAATACATGTACATCATGTACGTCAGCCGTAAAATACAGTGGGTAATATCATAATAAAAAAAAATAGGGTGGTAAGGCTACATAGCATGACACGAGCCCAAACCTACGTCTAGTCCCCCGGTGATGGAAAAGGGTAGGCGAAACTACATCCTGCAATTCCATTGCACATTCTCCATGATATTATAGAGTCCAGTTGGAGCGAAGGATTTTAGTTTTGTGATTGTCCGATCCTTTATCAATAATAATAATGGAGCATTGCAGTATTTATTTTATTAAATATACTGAGTTTGTATTATTATTGTATACGATATTGAATAAAATAAATATTGCATCAATTCAAAGTAACCAATATTCTACTCTGAAATACTTATTTTTATTATACTTACAGGCACAGAGTCCGATATGCTGTTAAAATTCATTCTCATGATGTCATCAATTTTTATCATAGTGCTGTTTGTTGATGTCATGTTAAAAGTATCGTTTCTAATACCAGGTGCCGGTTGAATCTGAAAATTTAAAATTATTTGTATAAGTTTTGCACCCAATGGTTTGTAAAATAGCACAAGTTAATTTCATTAAATATATTTTACTTACAGACACAGAGACATTGTCGATTCTAATCAAATCCGTGATGTCTAAAGCAATGTCTGGCTGGTACTGAAATATAAACAAAGGTAAGTCAGCCGTGGGTCAATGCATCGCAATCGCATCTCTTGAGTTTTTTGGAATTTATGACTGATATTTAATTTGAAATTTACCATTAGCTTTGCGGAACAAACAAAGAACTTGTTGGTGCACGTTGTGTAACAAAAGTACACTACTGAAAATAAAACGGCTTTTTTCTATTGGAATTACACTTATTTGCTAAGTTTTATTGAAATCGGTTAAAGGAAAGTGCGCCGAAACCGAATCCATCCCCTAGTTTGCCACCCTTAAGAGATGGAATGTTTTCTTCAAACTTAAATCGAACTAATATTGTGATACCCTCTGCCCAACAAAAAAAAATAAACAAAATAGGTTCACGAATAGTCGCGTAATACACACACACAAAAAAATACTGTAGAATTGAGAAACTCCTCCTTTTTTGCAAGTTGATTAAAAATAAATGTTATTTAGGGTGTACGTAAGGAACCTACTCGCAAAGGCGTGGGCAACACTCAGTGAGTACGTTACGCAGAGTGACAAATCATCACAATGACAAACATGTCCCACACTTCAGCATGGTAGTTACTACTAGTAATGTGGGTATCGGCAACAACTTGTGGGCCACAATAGTATAGTCAGGGCTCCGTCACACGAAGTTACGCGATAAGTGCCTTTTGCTGAGTGTATCGCCGACAGTGCAAGCGCTCAGACAAGTCTCGTACATTGTAACACATTTTTTTTGGTAAATCTCTTAAATACCAAAACAAAAAC